TATTTATTTTATTTTTTACGTGGTGCTAAGGATCGAACCCAGTGCCTCATGCATGCTACGCGAGCACTCTACCTCTGAGGCACAACCCCAGACCGGGGTAGTAATTTTAGCAATTAAAAAAAAAATTAAAACAACTAAAAATTAGTAAACTATCGATAGAAAAACTGACAAATGAAAATTAGCTAGCAAGTAAAAAGGCAATGAACATAAGATGTTCAACCTAATTACAAAGTAATGACATGTAAGTTAAATTAACAACATACTTCACAGCCTCAAACTGACAAAAATTAAAAGCTGATAGCTTACAATGCATGTGGGTGTGTGCTGACAGTAAAGATTACTGTATCTTTTGAAAAATAAAAATTTTAGAAAGTAACAATATATATGTATGTATGGTACTGGAATTAAATGAAGGGATTCTCTACCATTAAGATATATCCCCAGCCCTTCTAATTTTGAGACAGGGTCTCACCAAATTTCCTAGGCTGGATTCACTTGAAATTTTCAAGTCTCCCAAAACTGCTGGGATCAGAGGCATGTACCACCCCTCAATTAAATAATATATCCTTTGTTTTAGCAATCCCACATACAGAATTTATCCTAGTTAGGGGGAAAAAAATGACACCAATGCAGGAAAAGTTAGACAGACATATAAGGAGAGTTCTTGTTCTTACCATTTGTAATACCAGGAAAGAAAAGGAACCTTAAAGGTGGGGAGGGTTGCAAATTTGAATATCCACTACTGATATAATAGCTTAATAATTTATGACACATTGATACATGTATACTTTGGAATACTATACAGCTACTAGAATGTCAAATTTATACATACTACAATATGTCTGTCTACAATATTAAATGAAAATAAGCAAAGTGCAGAGTAATAACGTATACCATGATCTCATATTTGTTCAAAAAAAAGACAGAAAGGAAAAGGAAACTAATGATAAATTTTTTAGGAAGTTCTATTTATGTGCCTAATTTCCTAAATGAATACATACACCTTAGTTTTAAATACATCTACTGATCCATTAGAGGTCTCACCCACAAGATATTATGGTCTTATAATGTCTTTAATCTAGGTACATTAAAGGCTTTATTAGATATCAGCTAATACAATCCTTTGGAATCTTCTAAATGAAAAGATAATAAACAATAAAAACTAATTTTAAGGGAAAAAATGTTCAACAGTTTTTTTTGATGCCAAAATAAAACACTTTTAATGTTGCAATTTCAAACATAGAAAACCACAGAAGATCGTCTTCTCTGATAGCAGAAGGTATTTCAGTCATTTTATTGGATAATATGATTATGCTAGTTATATAAACACAAAAAAGGGACAGACATTAAACCAATTTCTTTGTGTAAGAAATTGAATTTTCTCAGAATGATGCTCATTCTTAGCAACAAATGCACTGATATTACAACTTAAAAATTCTATTCAACTAAATCTTAGTATAATATAAAGTTTCAAGCAGCCTGATTTAAAGGAGCACTTGATTTGGAACCGGACATACCCGAGTTCCAATCCTGCCACTTACTAGGGATATGGTCTTGGGCAAGTTACATAATCTCCTACCCTATGCCTGGGGCTGCAAAAATAGTTTTCTGTGGTGTTCTTGGAAAATAGAGTATCACAGATGAAAAATGTCTAGTAATAAAGTCTATCACACTATGCCTTCTTCTTGCCTTTCTTTCCAAAGAGGTCAGATTACTAACTGGCAATGTGTTTTTCAGTACCACCTTTTAGAAGACTTGGAAAACAAAAAAGAATAAAGCAGGCACAGTGGAGTACACTTGTAGTTAGTTACTCAGGAGGCTGAAGGTTGAGGCAGCAAGATCACTCAAGCCCAGGAAACTCTGGTCAGCCTGAGCAATATAAACCGCTTTTCCTTTAATTAAAAAAAAAAAATCAAGTCTACTAAGCTGATATACATTCTATATGCCATGTGTTTGCATTTTCCTTTTTGGGGGGGAGAGGGAGTACTGGGGATTGAACTCAGGGACATTGGACCACTGAGTCACATCCCCACACCTATTTTTTATTTAGAGACAGGGTCTCATTGAGTTGCTTAGCATCTCCCCATTGCTGAGGCTGGCTTTGAACTCAAAATCATCTGTCTCAGCATTCTGCATTTTCCATTGTTTTGTATTTGAGACTCCTTTTCTTGGATTATTTTAGAGATTTATTTCAATGAACGATTACTATTTTTGATATAATTATTTATTTTGATTCATGCTTACTTATTTCTGGTAAAATTTTCCTTAAAAAAATCGTAAGCAAGCAAATTATGTTCTACCTGTTGCATTCTACATCTCCAAATAACTTTCTTTTTAAAAGCATTCATGTTGGGTCTGTAGAAACCACTTTCAAATATTATGGGGGAAAAAAGTGTTAGGTAAGGCAGAATATCAAAGCCTCAAGTCATTTTAACCCACTAAAATGTGTCTAAGAAGTTAACACTGCAGAATTCTAAATAGCAATACAAAAAACTTTGATTTTAACTTTCAAGTGCTTCTAAGAGGAGTCAATTTTTTTCCATGACTGGATGACACTAAATGGATCCAAATGCAAAGAAAAGCATACTGTCCGGCTTCTAATATTTAAAGTGAAGATTTTTCATGACACAAGACACATATTAATAAAATCAACAGAATTAACTCATTGTATTATTAATTTTATTTTATTAGGTAAATAAATTGAATAATTTCAAATTATACTATAGAATTGAGGATTTACGATATTTTAGCCTCTTTTTCATATTTAGTTGAACTTCAATCAAATTTATTTGATGATTTTTGATACAGTGCTCTTTAAAGTGTCTTAAAGTCTCTTGCAAAGTCTATCAAAATTGCAAACAGCTACTATATGGAAAATTACAATTATTTTCCAGTACATTTTTCCTAAAAAAAAAAATTAATCATCACCCACAACAGTTCTGGCTGTTTTCCATATTTACTCCTTTGTTTAAATTACACTGCTGAAGGTAATTTTTTACTTGCTTTTCAAAACATGTTCAAGTTGATGGTGAGGTGAAAGAGTATGCAAAAACCACTTCACATTATTTTCACACATGCAAATTACAACTTCTTGAGGTGATTTTAAGTGCCATATACATTTTCAAATCAAAATTCATCATTGTCATTCTTTAAAACTCCCTTTCCATCCTGAGCTCTTCCAAATGTCAAAGTTCTCTACTAATCGAGAGTACCTACTATCCGTTCTTTCTACTGGTCTTTCACAATTTTACACTCCAGCTTTTTGTATTTCAGAGCCCTTCGCCCATAAAAGCACCACTAACTGTTTAAGGTACTTAACTGTACAGTTAACTTTCCGCATTATCTTACTTTTCCTTTCATAAACTTCACTATAATTTCCTTTCAGCTTTCCTTCATCTTCTAAATTCACATCAATACTATCGCGAAGCAAAGTGTATATACAACCCTATCAGGAAGGCCAAATTAATCATTTAGCACAACTAATAATTTAAATACCCAGATGCCTCATTTAGATACTCGGTGGAAGCTTTTTACTTGATTTCCTGTCCTACCAAGCCAGCCTGCCTCCAACGTTAATTGTAAGATCCCTTGGTGCCCCTAGCACAAGTGCAATTCGCTATAGTGTATTTCTTTTTACTCCCCACCATTCCTGGTGTCTCCTTCCATTTCTGCGCATCTTAGTGAACCTCCCCCCACCCTCGTTGTCCCCAAGATTCTGTACCTAGGTGTCCATTTCTCAAATTAGAATACCCCTCGCCTGATATTGGCGGGGCTTGGTTGTACTACTTCTAAGAGAACGCGCGAGCAGTTCTCTCTCCTCCAGAAGCACCCGCTCCCCACTGAGTTCGGTCCTCCCTAGCTCGCTCTCCTTGGAATGCCTACTTCGGGGCAACCCCTTAGCTCCAAGAAGCCCAATCTTGCAACCTCTGCCCCTTGACCTAGAGCCCAGCCGGCTACTCAAGGTAAATCACCTAGTTCTTGGAGCTTGTGCTCGAGAGCCCCCAGTCCCAGCTCTCCTTGAAACCTCTCAGCTCCGAAGCCAGACCCCAGATTAGATGAAAGCCCGCTGCTCCAGTTGCAGTGCCTCCCCGGCCGGCCCCTTCTACACCACTCAGCCCATAGCGGCTCGGCTCCTCACCTAGCTTCGACCGGGACTCCTCCAGTTTCTGAATCTGGTTCTCCAAGAAGAGCATCGCTACCGCGAAGGCCACCACCGCCAGCAGCTGCAACTTGGGCGGCATCATAATCCTGAGGAGCCCCATGAAACCCGCTGCTCGGGATCAAGACATACCGCGGGGGGCGGGGAGCGGGGCCCCGGAGGCGAGGGAGACGCCGGGAGGAGTCCACGGAGCCGGGAGAGAGGCGAGGAGAGCGCCACAGGGAGAACCACCGCAGCGACCCCCCTTCTCGCCACTCGGGTCCCCCGCCCCCAGGCGCTAAGCACCAACGCCGCCGGTGCCCGCTTCTCCACAGCCGCCCCCTCCAAAAGCCCGCGCAGCAAACAGCGCGAAGCGGCTGCCGGGCGCTCTACAGCCTCAGTCCCCGACCCCCACGCCCGCCTGCTTGCCCGCCCGCCTCCTTCTCCTCGTTCTTTCCCTCCCTCCTTTGCTCGCGGCCGCGCGTTCCTCCACCAGCGCTGCGGCTGCGACTGCGCTGCCCTCGGCCCCGCCCCCTCCCATCCCCCTCCGCCACCTCGCGCACGCATCTACGTACGCTGCTCGGCAACCAGAGGCCCCGCCCCCTCCTCCCATTCGGTAGTGTGCATTGGTCCGAAGAACCCCAGTGTTTCGCTGTCGATTCGGTTTACGGTTGAATTCTTCTGCCACAGGGCTCACCCAAGACGGCATTCCATTGGGTGAACCTGGAGAAGGAGGCAGGACTGAAACTGGCGAAGGCGGGGTTTCTTGGCTTCTCGACGTAGTGTCGTGAATGAAAGGATGGAGCCCGGAGAAGCGCAGAAGTGGGAAGTTTAGGAAAGTGCCTGATTTGAGTAATTGAAAGGACACAATAACTGTCTTTATATTTGATTACCTTTAACCTTTTATATGTCTTTAGTTAATACTGTCTCTTCAAAGTAAGAGATTTGATGGCAACGGCCTTCCGTGGCCTGTTTTCAATCAGGCTCTGAAGTGGTTGCCCCTAGCCGAGGGGTCCTCTGGGTAGCCAGAGATTTACGATAGATGATAGCGATGGCGGCTGGGCGAGGTGGATGGCTTGGGCCAGCTTTTGGGCTGCGGTTCCTGTTGGCTACTGTGCTTCAAGTGGTGAGTGTAGGTCACCTCCGCGACCGCCTTAGGGCGAGTAGGAGGGATTACTAATGAGGAAGACAAAAATATTCGGTCCGGTTCGGGGACCTCACTTGAGAAAAGGAGGGGGGCAGATTGGGCTTCCTTAGAACAGTGGCCGGAATGCGACGTGGCTTAATTCCCGGTTGAGTTTGTAGAGGCCGTCTTCTCCCGACAAGTCTTGGGTAGTTTTCTCTTACGTAGCTCTAGCTAAAAAGGATCACTGTGGGGAGGGGAAGCAGTAAAGCTTGGGAAAGAGTAAAGTTGTTTTTTTTTTTTAAGTAGGCAGAAATGCAAGGAACTTACTACAAGGCTCTAAAATCTTAAAAGGAAAAACCAGCAGATTTTTGCTAACGGTGAACACCTTCTATTACTTTCTCGTTCAGACTCTACTCCTGCGTCCTGGCGTATACACCAAGCAGTGTAATCAATATTTATTTTTCCATTAACAAAGTACGCGGGTTCTTAATCTTTGACGACCCAATTTTTACTTATTTTATTGCTTACATAACAACTAGACATTGGCTAATTCCTCAAAGAAGTGTACATGAATAATGAAACTTAAGGCACTGTTCTGGCGAATTTGGTATTTATTATTTCAGTTTAATTCTTAAGGCATTCTCTACTGAGCCTGTGAAAAGTTTTCTCCCAAGACAAAACTTTCTTTTATCCAAGGTTTATGGAAGTTGGGCACCACTTTGTTTGACCCAGGAATTTGGAAGCAACTTCCTGGGTTTTGCTCTTGCCATCTTGAGGAAAAGGTGGATTCTTCTCTAATTAACAGTTCATTACAATACTTTTATTCAAGCATTTTGGTGCTTTAAAATTACCGAACATTGTTCCCTGAACTTTGTACTCTTCAAGGTTTTTTCCCCATCGTAGGTCATTTGAATTCATCCTCATCACCACAGAATGATAAAAAGGAATATTTCAAGCTTTCTTCTCCCAATTCACCTTCTCTGGCTTTCAGTTAGCTGTGGCTGTGTAACTGTCCTCCAAATATTAGTGGTTTAAAAACAATGATTTCTCACCATTCTGTGTTTTCAACTAGTAGGTTAGTAGAACTGAACAATTTGAGGGTCATCATCATTCATAGTAGGTGCTGTCAGCTGGGACCACTTTGTTCTTCTCTGTGTGAGCTGTCATCCTCCAAAAGCTAGACCAACTTTTTTTCCCTTTCATTCTCTTGACTGTGCTCCAAAATAGCAAAACCTTAAAATGCCTCCTTGGCTTGCCTTGGAAATCACATATATCATTTCCACCATGTAGTACTTGTTAAAGTGTTAAAGAAAGTCACAAGACCAGTTTACTTTTTAGGAAATAAACTGTCTATGTAGGAAGAGTGACAGTCACATTTCAAAGAAGAATACATACTCATACAGGAATTTATGGCCATTAAACAATGTACCACAGAGTGACCTTCACAAAATCCAAGCCAAAAATTGGTCCATTTGAATTCACTTTCCTTTCACTCAGAATCCAGTTAGTAATAAAGTCCTTAAATCTTTACAGCCGTTTTGTGTAGAAAGTATTGCTCATTGCTTTATCAATGAGGAAATTAATGCAGGGAGGGTAGCTTGCCAAAGTCACACATCTTGTAAATGGTGAAGCTGATACCCAAAACCAAAAAGTTTGATTTCTAATGTGTTCCTACTTCCCATACCCCATCTCTTTTCTTATCCTTCTCCTGCTGAATACGTCTGTAGATAAGTTAATGTTATTTCATATAGTCCACATAAACAGGTGCTAAGCTCTTAAACAGGAATTATTTTTTCCTTACAAGGAAATTCCTTTTTAAAAACTAGTAAATGTTTATTAAAAGATATGTGATACATGTGTCATGAAAATGATGTATCTTGCTGGGCACAGTGGCACACGACTGTAATCCCGGTAATTCTGAAGGCTGAGGCAGAAGGGTGGCAAATTCAAGGCCTGCCTTGGCAATTTAGCAAGACCCTGTCAAAATCTTTAAAAAGAGCTCGAGATACAGCTCAGTGGTAAAATGCTCCCAAGTTAACCCCACACCAAAAAAATTATTTATTTATATATATATATATTAGTCTACAGTTTTGCTAAATTAAAAAAATGTTCAATTTATAAGAAGAAAGCTTTAGGAGAGATGGGAAGAACCAAAAACTCATGTAGGGTTATAAAGTTCAAAACACTGAAAAACTTTACACCAGTTAATATTTCAGTAACTCATCTCCAGTGTATTACGATTTAATAACACCATTAACCTCTTTTTGGAAGTTTTATAATGTAAATGTAGAATTGTGATTTATTCCTCATTTGTATTTTCAGGTGTCTGCTTTCAGGGCAGAATTTTCATCAGAGGCATGTAGAGAGTTAGGCTTCTCTAGCAACTTGCTCTGCAGCTCATGTGATCTACTTGGACAGTTCAACCTACTTCAGCTGGATCCTGATTGCAGAGGATGCTGTCAGGAAGAAGCTCAATTTGAAACCAAAAAGGTACTGCTTCCTATTATATCGTTTCCATTAGATGGTTTAGTTGGGATAACTTGACTAAATTGCTTAATACACTTAAGCATAAAGAATTTTCTTACCTTTGCCTGGCTCACTAGCACAATCAAAGTCATTACAAAGGAAATGTATGGTTATATACTGGGTTCCTATTCGTTTTCCATTCAGCAGACAGGGGAACAGAGTCACGATAGCATGCCCGGATCCCACTCCTCTCCAGTCAACTTCTGACCAAATGAAGACACAAAAATAATCATTTAAATACTTTTGTGCATTTGCAGCAAGAAGTCAGTTTTATCATGAAATTTGATATGAAAGCAAGGCACATGATGTAGGCAATAAATTATAATTCTAAATGTGGTTAAGAAGGTTGAGGATATAGCTCAGTGGTAGAGCACCTGCAGCATTTGTAAGGCCCTGGGTTCAGTCCTCTGTATCACAAAAAAAAAAGAAAAAAGTGCTTAACAATCTTACTTACATACCCATTATTAATAATTCTGAATACCTAGACTCACTTTAAAATTTGAAAACTGAGTCAAGGATAGGTAGTTCTATCCAGCAGAATTTTTGTTTTGAGTGTGTTGTTCAAACAAATAGTGAACTTGCTCAAGTTTTAAATCTTTTCATTAAAATCCTTAGATTTCTTAAAATTTTAAAGTAGTCTCAAAAGATCATTTGTTTTATCCAAATAAAGCTGATTTGGGGTTAGATGTGGTGATATACATCTATAATCCCAGAGGCTCAGGAGGCTGAGACAGGAAGATCATGAGTTCAAAGCCAGCCTCAGCAAAAGCAAGGTGCTAAGCAACTCAGTGAGACCCCGTCTCAGAAATGAAATACAAAAATAGGGCTGGGGGTATGGCTCAGTGGTCACGTGCCCTTGAGTTTAATCCCCAATATTCCCCCCAACCCCCACCAAAAGAAAAAAAAAGGAAAAGAAAAAACTGAATTAGTGATTGGTGGCATAGCTCAGTGGTAGAGTGCTTGCCTGGCATGCACAAGGATCCATGTTCAATTCCCTGCACCACCCCTCCACTAAAAAAAAAAAAAAAAAAAAAAGATCTCGGTTGAGGAAAAAATTTAGCATCTTTCTACTAAGTTTTCTCTTAGTATTCTCTTTCACTTGTATATGCTGAATTTTATTTAAGGTGTTCATTTATATAACTTTGAAACAGGATATTTTCTCATGATTAGATAGTTTCTAACATTAAATACATTTTTATAGTTCTAAAAGAAAAACAAGAGCCAGGCACACACCTATAATCCCAACTACAACGAAATCTGAGGCAAGAGGATCATAAGTTCAAGTCCATCCTGGGCAACCTAATGAGATACTCTCTCAAAATAAAAGAGAAAAAGAGCTGGAAATACAGCTCAGTGGTAGAGCATTCCAGAGTTCAATCCTCAGTACTGCAAAAAAGACATGCCAACGAGTTTTTAAAATGTAAGTATTCAGTCCATCCAAGAGTTAACAAGTGACTTCTCAGTTTCTCAGTATCATAAACCTGAAACTCTTAAGTGTCCCGAAGATTCCAGCTTGATGTTTAGATTCACATAGTTTATATTTAGATTTCCATATGTGTAAATTACTCTTTATTGCATATAAATAAAATATAAATAACAAGTATTAAAACTTGATTTTAAATACATTTAAAACAGGATTTAGCTTTTGATGAGATACCCATATGGACAGATTATTTCTTGTGCCCGTATATAGACCCAGTAAACAGAGTTAGGATAGTAGACATGCTTTTTTCAGAGGTGGCTCCAGCTTCAGTCATTTAACCCCCAGTCTTTTCTCTAGGCGCTATTATATGCAGTCCCAACTAAAGAAGACACACTGCCAACAGTTTATGTAAGGGGGCACATATTGACAAGTTAACTTTTATGACCTTGAGTATATAGGCTGAATCAGTGGGGTTTGGGCCTTGACTAACCCTAACAGCCAGTTCCTAGCCCTGACTACACATAATAGCCTGCTGGAAGCTTCAGCAAAGGGAGCCTAAAACTATAGCCATTTGGGGCCTGACCCAACATTACTGAAAGAAACTTTTTGAGTTATCATCTCTTCCTTGTTCTATGGACCATACTACTCAGTGATTATTCATCAGGACCCTAAATTTATAACAAACCACATTCCCTTAAAATTAATGGCAAATTGAGAACTTCTACCATTTGATATACAGTATGTCTAAGCTATAAACCAAGTACATATAAAAACTATTGTTTTTTTTCTCAGTACTCCTTCATATACTCAGGTTTTATATGGTAGTTTTAGTGAAATCAAATTTAGATCACATGGTTTTAAAACTAATTATATTCTTATTCAATTTTCATTATCAATTGAGTTATGTGTTGTATCTAGATACCTTTCAACAATAACAAAAGGCAAGTAGCCTGCCAGTTAATATATGTCAAACTAATTACAAACTAAAGTATTTAATGTCTAAAAACAAGTGAATCTATGTCCTAATAATTTTTTTGTGTTAAACCCAGTGTTTTTTTCCCTTTATTCCTGACCCCTAGTCTCCAAGACATATTTCTTTTAATCATTTAGTAGTACCTTTTGTACAAAAAATAGTGAATTTTTTTTTTAATAACTCTAGTGGAACCAACAGAAAAAACATTTAGAATTATGCTGCAAGTATGAACATACAACATGTTGGGCAAGCCTCCATTTAAAAGCAAACCACTTTCAAAAATAATTACACTTGATTTAATATGTGTAGTACTTCTCTCAATTATTGACACTTGATCATAGGTAACAGAATACATATAATAAATATTCTATTTCACACAGGCTTAAGGCTTAATTTTTAAGTACTAGTTGAATTTAGTCCTCAATCATAGTAAAAATCTGTAGTATAGAATCCTAGTGTTTTATATCAGAAATGCTAAAAAATACTTAAACATGGCTCTGTGTGTGAATCATTGAGAATATAATTTTTTAGAAGAAAAATTATAGTTTACATAAGAATGTTTTAGTTTCTTGTATTATAAATAAATGTTACTAGAACTTTTGAGTCTTACATATTTGAATGCACTGAAGGTCTACCCAAGGATAAGGCCTATCATTTTTAGTAATGGTCACTCATTTTACAGTTTCAATTTAGTCTTTGGTAGCCGGCAGCATAAAATTTTTGAAAAATATATGTTTCTAATAAAAACGTAAACTGTCCAAAATCCTTTATCATTCTTCCAGTAGATATTGCATTATTTTTTTAATTTGATCTTCTCTTCCACATTTTGATCATAAAGGACCTACTTTACCATAAAGGATCTGCATTTCTTTCATATACTACTTAGAATGAAGTTTTGTGGGGGTTTTGTTGTTGTTGTTGTTGTTACAGGGCATTGAACTTAGGGACTCTTAACCACTGAGCCACATCCCAAACCTTTTTGAGAAAGGGTCTCACTAAATTTCTGAGGCTGGCTTTGAACTTGCAATCCTCCTGCCTAAGCCTCCCAAGCTGCTGGGATTACAGGTGTACACCACCACATCCCTCTAGAATGAGATTTTTGGTAAGCTATTTTACTGTTGTTTTAACTAGCTTTGCTCACAAGTACATGCCTAGGTATGATTTGTGAACAATAATAAGGTTATTAATTATAAGGAAAAAAACAATTTGTAACTTAAAGAAAAAATATAAACTAATAAAAGTATTTTAATTTTAGTGCTATTTCTGTACATTTAGTGTTATGGATTGGATGTGAGTTGTCCCCAAAAGTTCATGTATGAGGCAATGCAAGAAGATTCAGAGGAGAAATGATTGGGATTATGTGAGCTTTAATCCAGTCAGTGAATTAATACCTTGATGATATTAACTGAGTGATAACTGAAGGCCCATTAGGTTGTGACTGGAGGAGGTAGATCATTAGGGGCATGCCTTTGGAGTATATATTAGGTATATGGCAAGTGGAGTCTCTTTCTGCTTTCTGATCATCATTCGAGGTGCTTCCTTCCACTCTGCCCTGATGTTTAGCCTTACCTTTAGCCCTGAGGAATGGAGTTGGTTCTCTATGGACAGACCTAAAACCGTGAGCTCCCAAATAAACTTTTCCTTTTCTAAAATTGTTCTTTTCAGGTCTTTTAATCACAAAAGTGAAAAAGCTGACAAAGCAGTATTTACTAAGTCTCATGACTTAAGATTTCTATGAAGAATCTGAAGATGGAAGGGAAGGCATCAAAAAGATACCCAATCCCATTGAGTAGAGTTCTTCCCATTGATCTTATATTTGAACTTCTTGACCAACAATCTTAACTGCCTGGTTTAGAGAAAGAAGTGAATGTTTTGACACATGAATTCCACAGTTGAACAACAACACTAGAGGAGGAGACAGCTAGAAATCAGAAACAGACTGTATCTTGCAGTCTCTCTCTTAGCTTTTGCTTTTACACATTCTTTACTTGACTATTGCCTGGCTTTTTCCCTGAGGTAAGAAAAGAAGCTGCATCATACTTCTTCCTCTGGAAAAGGACTAATTCTTCCTTGTTTACATTTTTAAAATATTTTCTGCAAGGACCAGTTATTGCCTGAGTTATTTGTTAGATTATGGAATAATGAAAGAAGCTATTAACTTCTCCAATAGTTGAATGAATGGATTGGTGCACTAGGAAACAATAGATGAAGCAGTTCTCAGTTATCAAAGTATTACAGGAGTAGATACTATGTAAACAATCCCATAGACATGTTATTTTTTTAACCCCCAAATAACAAAACCTAACTAAAACTTTTTTTAAAGATTTAGCTCAAGTGTTTCCCTTTAGTGAGAACCTTTCTAATTTCCTCCACTGCCAAGTTGCTAGCTATACCTACATAGTATATCTCTTGTTTTGCTTTCCTTTCTTTTCCAATAAATATACTCTTTGAAGTCTAAGACTGTTTTATGATGTGTTTCTGAATTCCCAGCCTTTAGCACACATAATTTTGTAAGTTTTTGTCCTAGAATAGGCTGTTTTTACTAAAAACAAGTTAGAAAAGGTGATT